TATTCCACTGCGTGTCCTAATTCTCCACCCATAAAACCCTATAACCACCGTTATCGTTGGAAAACATGCAGAAAGTATGGATTAATGTGTGGGCCTACACAAGCTATTGTTACCGAATGAATGATCAGGAGTTTTTTGTCCCTATCAGCTCGATCCTCTACTGCCTATCCCTTTTTACCTTGTCTTTAAAATGGCAATAACTAAATAAATCTATGGATGTTGGATACAACCACAACCGTCTACTGCGATCGCCAAAAGAGTCACTTCATATGCCCGTGGCGAGGTGATAGGACTGTTTTACACCTAGGAAGCTTCATCTATCATGAGCTTATGCGCCTGTTTATGCTGCAATTAGGATGGCTAGGCTTGAGGCATGTGTAGGAATTTATGACTCCTGCCAAGAAGTCGGAAGAGTTCCTGCGCGGTTCCGGTATAGAATCTGGACATGATGTCAATTGCAAATAATACCCGATCCCTTACTTTAATACCCGCTCCATCATTGATTCGAACTAAACAGTACACGAAATGGAAAAAAGCTAGTTAATGGTTCATCAACCGCAGTAATCTGCTAGAAAAATTGCAATTTTACATAATCAATTGAAACCTGAATTAATAGCTCGCTGAGTCTAGTTAATAATAACTCAGTATCTGGCTTAAGTAATTTGTTATCATAATGCTTCTTTTCAGAATCATTTCCTAAGACAAACCTAAGAAAGTTATAGTCGTGAAAATGAGGACCATATTTTGGTTCCCTTTTGTCAAAGTAAAATGTTTATTTCAAAGTGACTCAAAATAAATCACCTAAGCGACAAAAAAGACTTCCGGAGGTTTTAAATACCGGAAGTAGCTGTGATATAGTTTGTCCTAGTTGGCTTTTGAACTGCTTGTTCCTAAAATTATCCCAAAAATAGACAAAAATTACTATACTATGGAGGGTCATTGAATTGGGTAGAAAAAATGCATCTTCATGGACTGAACTATTTTACTCAAAAAATACGACTTCAAGGGCTTCATTGACTCTTGTAAATATTTTCCTGCAAACAAATTCGTACTTGTATATTTTAAGTATATATTTGCGCACAGCCGCTTGCTACTAAGGATGTGATAAGCGAAATGAATATAAACGCCGTAAGCGGGATGCAGCGATATTCCCAGTAACTTTACTATCGGGTAAAGACACGGTGCCATAAATTCTTCCTGTGTCACGTATATATTGTTCCATTCCGGCTACCTCCAATCTCTCATTAAGAACTATTTGCAGCACAATGATAATGCCCGAAATGATTAGTTTTTAAATATACTGGGTCAAAAAAATACATTAAACTAAAATGAGGACAACCAAAGCCCCATCTATGTGTATAGTCCGCCTTTCTATATAATTCTGCTTACTTGAGGAGTCAACAGGTTCTATCCTGAATTTACTACTCTACTATAGTAGATTACAAGTAGTAGTTGGTGCTCGTTAGTCAGTCTCACTTTAAATGACCGATATGCTTTCAAGAAACTTTGATATTCTGAGTGATATATGCTTCCTGCGTAAAAACAATATACATTTTGTACGAGACTGGAAAAAGCGAAATCCTCAGAGAATTTGGTGTCTTTGAGCTCTTCCGGACGGGAGGGTTAGTTAGAATTTAGCGAATGCGTCGTCTAATTAATGATTGTGAATTCTTGACGAAGTATGCCATTATAACCCCGTTTATAACGAAAACTTGTTTTTGTTGTCGTACGTCGCCTTCGTCTCCTCTTTTTTGAACATATTAAAAAGCATAAATAGAAAAGCAGGCATCTCTAGAAATTTACTTTCAAGGAAAACGTGCTTTGGGAAACTTTATTCAATCAATGTGCTTCTACCTCTTAAGACCGCTTTTATGTGCCATGCAACTAGAAGGCAACGCAAAAATCTGAACTTTTACCAATTGGTGAGCAGGGTGTTTACTAAACGCCTTAGGTGAAATCAGACACTAGTTTTTTATCTCTACATTTGTATGAAATATATGAATTATTAAATATTATATGAGTTTTACTGGCCTCTTAACTTTTCCCCTTCTGCTTACTTTTTTCGTAATTAAAAAGCATATAACCAATTCGAGACCAAAGAAGAAAACTTTGCAGCATGTATCCCTGCGTGGGGCGTGTAGTGCATTAATAAAAAGAAAATTTTGACGGAAAACTACGAAAAATTAAAATTCATTTATCAATTTGCATGCACTGAATGCAAACTCCTGCCGCGCTCATAAGCTTTCGGGCAGTATTTTTTCGTTCCTTTTTCGTATTCTGTGTGTATATGCACAGTCACATAATATGAAGTCCATCACATTTTAGTGTCAGCAGTGCTATCGGCGCATGATGGCGCATGTCAACGTGAGATAGGAAGGACAGCTGCCCCAAGTCATAATGTCTTACAAGAAAAAACTTAGACGATTGTCTGCCTGTTTGTGACGAGGGACTTCATGTGGGCCTAAAGATCTCCGACTGACTCACGGAACACCCCACGCTAAATACGTTAGGCACCAAAATAAATTGTTTTTAGCCACATCGGATTTTCTTAGTTTGCCACTTCAGTTTTCCATGAACCTTCCTACATGTCTGACTCGTTTTATTCCCCAAATAAAGTTGTCTTCCGAATTCTATAATCTCTTTCAGTACTGTGCAATCGTTACCAAAAAATTATATTAGTAGTTGCCAGCGCCTACTGTAGTCTTAATTATAAAAATTAACATTGCCATCACATTCAGTCTGATTAATAATTTAATATTCTAATTCTACATGCTCAAAACCCTGTCCTGTATAGATGAAAAAAATACAACGACTTTTTTTAATATTACTTAAAATATCGATAAACAGTTAAGCTCCGAATTCGTAATCATGTGCTTGTTTTGTGCAATAAGATTGTGTGAGGCATATGTGACGTGTTATGAGCTACTAAGATCCCACTTCACAGTCGAGAATGTGATCGAATATAATCAAGAAACCGATGGT